AGTATGCACGAAGACAGTCACCGGTACAGCAGAACTATCGCGACGCGCAGCGTACGGTTGAATGCATACTTTGCAGTATCCTCGTAATAACCTTATTATTATACATCATGGGAATGCCGAAATCCAAAAAGTTTAGAACAGAATTAAACTTCTTTGTGTGGAGTCCGGTCAAACCCTGGTGGCAGCCATGTTTGTTTTTATTATTAGAGGACGCTTCCGCGCATAATCATTCCATATTTGGAATTCGCATTTCCTTCTATGGTAGGATAAAAAATATCCCGTAAAATACCTCAAAATTACGGCACGCTGTAACTTATGGCGCTACGGTGACAGATGTATAATAATAAGTGTTAATGATTAATTTCGAAGACTATTCATGTAGTTACCGGGTCATATGAAATAGTTATTGTGAGTCGTCCTTACCCAATAAACGGACTCCGACACCATTAGCGTGTTCAAAATCTGGACCCGTTGCGGGATTTGGTTGATTGACTGAGTAGATTAGATCGCCATTTGTCCCATCATCGGGGTCGGTGCACGTCAAATCAAGGTCGGTTACTGCAGTGAAAGGAGCTAAAGGGAAATAAAAAAGTGAAGAAAATGAGGTTATGCAACTCGGACTATATATATATATATATATATATATATATATATATATATATATCATGTCACATTGTATTAAATGTGTGTAGGTACAAAAAAGGAATGTAAAAGTACACGTATTTTCAGTACAGAGAACATTGTACATACAGTAAAATGCCAACAGGGCCAACTGCTTGGCACTCATATTATGAAATGTATTAAGACCTCAAAATTAAGTTTTTTCCCCTGTGTTCTTCATACACCGTTGTCAAAATTTCTGAATATATCTTATTTGTTCATCTAACGTTCCATTACATATCTTAGAAGGAATCAAATTTTCATCATTTTCTAAACTAAAGCTGCGGGGGAATTACTTTGCTAGAGTGTAGTATGGTAAAAACTTGTTAATTCTGACTGAATGTCAGACAATCCGGAGACATTTATTACTATTGTAGCCCTTACTTGTATTCTCTAACACTTGTACACTGTATGCTGTTTGTAGACACACTGGCGTATTATCATTGATATCAAGCACTGTTACAGTGAGTGTGTCTGTCTCTACAACTCCGCCACCGTCTTCGATTTCAATAACAATATCGTAAGTAGCTTCTTCTTCTCTATCCAACTGTTTTGCCAATCGTAGTTCTCCAGTCACTGGGTCCAGGGAAAACGAATTGGTTCCGCTAGAGGGTGTCACTGGTGGATTTAAATAGTATATTATTACCATTCTTGTACGCAAAGATGAATAATAGTTAGAGGATATATTCGCCGACAACAAAGAAAGTATCGCATTATATCACGAGTTTTTATGTTCGACATTCTCATGAGTCACGTGGCAAATAATTAATTATACATAAAAATAACTCATATAAAGCGTTAATAATAGTCTTGAACCCGGATGAACGTTTGGCGGATTGATATATGACATGACATGTACGTGAACCCGGACAACCGAACACAAATGATCTTCGGCGTGAACGTTTGGCGGATTGATATATGACATGACATGTACGTGAACCCGAACAACCGAACACAAATGATCTTCGGCATGAACGTTTGGCGGATTGATATATGACATGACATGTACGTTGTTGGCATTTACATCTTCGGATTTGAATAGCTATTCGCATTTGTATGTAGCAATCGGGTATTTTCGAGACAGACGCGTTCAAGATATTAAATGTTGTTTACACATGTTGGAATGGATAGTTAACTATTCATTATATTCAATATTCACATCTAAACAAAATTAGGTATAAACACACTTGAGGACAAGCTTACATCTAAACCAAACACATTAATCTTGTCCAAATGATGTGCTTGTCGTACCTGACGTTATTCTGTATTCTACGATGTCGTGCGGGGATAGATCGCTGTCTTGTGTGTTAGCACCAATACCAATCACCAGGGAGTCAACTAATGCATCCTCGTACACATCTACAGCTCCGGTGAATGCCGGGAGAAACACTGGATTAAACTCGTTAGTCGGCAAAATGTTCACTGTTAGAGTTAGAATAACTATGTCGTCTGCATCTACCACTGGATTTTCCTTCACAGTGATTTCAAGAGGATAATGTGTATCATCTGGGACGTCCCAGTCAATGCCAGCTTTGGAGAGAAATGAGATATAAAAAACAACAAACCAAAACAAAAAAGTGCCACAAATGTGTCTCACAATGTACGTTTCAACCAAGGGCGAATAATATACAATCACAACGCATAACACCAACATAAGTAGCATACATACAAAAATGTGTGTGTGGATATTATCCAAATATCCGATTAATATGCAAATATGATAATATGCAAATATGATAATATTTGACAAGCTTAAGTTGCCCACACAAACTATTCGAGGCGCTGTTTAGGTATATTTAAAAAAGAACAAATCATGAATAAGGGCGAAGAACATAAAGTTAATTTTCTTGATTATACTATAATATCCACAGCCTGTGATTATTTCCTCGACGTTTGCTTTCTAGTAAATAGCTTTTCAGAGTGTACTTGGTTGATGGTGTTAATATTAATAATGATGCATAAAGATCTGTCAATAGCTGAGGATAATTTTAATGTTGTTGTATCACCTGGTCACCGAAAACATATGTTTGTATTTTATGATCAGTTTTTAACAAAAAAACACTGCCTGGTTTTGATAAACGCGGCCATAAAGTAAAATGTTTGTAACATTGTTTAACTATGAAATTGATAACTTCAAAATACAAAATGTGCCATTTTTGTTTTTTACTCTTTTTTTTTAATAATATGCACTTACCTAACACTGTTACCTCCCCTGTGGCAGAATTTAAACTGAATTTTCCATATCCACCTGCTGGACTTAATAAATACTGCACAGTTCTGCCATCCGGGTCACTGCAGTCATAGAGGTGTATCTGAAATAGTAGGATTTAAACCAGCATATCAGTATATCATAAAGTAGTTGTCTTACACAATGTTAAAGCGGGAGGGTCGTCACCTGCGCACGCGCGGGAATTGAGTCCCAAGCGACGATAACAACACACGCTAAAAACGCAAAGCTCATGGGTAGACGCTTATTTGTAAATAATGATACGCTATCTGACGCATGCGCAGGTGACGACTCCCTCACTTTAAACAATATTGAAAATCACATAAGATGAATTGTATGTAAGTGTCATGAAAATATTACACCAACGTGTTGGTTATACGTGACCCATTCACATAATATACATATTTATATATTACCGAATCACTCGTTTCAACATCTTCTTCTGGAAGATTCAACACAATCGTTCTTGAATCAACGCACGTGATTTGCGCGTCGCCAACCACATCAGTTACGTCAACTGTCACAAGGGACGTTGCTGTGCGTGGATTGTCCACGTCATTATCGGTGACATGTAAAGTCAATGTAACCGAAGTCACAAGTTCGTAGTCCAATGGCGTCTTCACAGACACTTCCCCCGTGCTAGAATCGATTTGGAAATTGTTGTAGGTGTCGCCATCTAATAACAAAAATCATCAATGTAGCATTAAAGCAAGTGAAACTAGTTCTTTAGATACCATTTGTATATGGAACAGAAAGTGCAATAAATCTGAAGGCCCTAAAAGTTGGAAAATAATGCACTTACTCGTATCATATCCGGTGCCAATTTAATAGTTCTCAGATTATGCAAAACATCTGTTTAATTATGTTGTAATTTACAAAGCAGATACAATAAGTTCGAGCAGTGGCAACTGGACAGTCATAATGTATGAAATTTGCATAGTGTGTGGTGTCATTTTGCCAGTTGAACCGGTAACAAGATTATATTTCATTAGTTCATGTACGTGTTTGTATTCAGTTTTTGACTTTTCAGTGAAGAAATCTCAAAACATATGCAATATATTGTCCTTATGTGAGACATAATCGCTGCTGTAATATTCGTAGTAACAAATATCCGATCTGGTGCTTTGTAGTGAGTTCGATGGGATTTTTTTACAGCGGATCCACCATGATCAGTTTTTTTCCCAGTTTCAATATGAAAATTGTAAAACAGCGTGATAAAAATCTTATCACATAATTTGTATCTGTTATAATCCGCCATCACTCTAGTGCATATTCAATGCCATTTGTCGTTATTTCTGTGCATTAAATATTGCCTTACAGTAACAGTTGATACATTACCTATGATACTGTATGTTAATTCTCCTTGGGAACCGAAATCCCCATCGGCCGCCCCCAAAGTAAATACTGATGTACCGAATGGCTCAGCTTCTGCTATCTGTATAATAAACGCAAACAATATACGGTTATCATTGATATCACTTGTTTGTTATGGGCAACTATTGTAAATTTATCGTGACGGTTAGTCCTTTTTCTCACGTAACCAAATCTGATTGGCTGTTTATTGCTAACCATGTGGGATATGCAGTATACGTGCGAAGAGTGTCGTTGAAATGGACTCCAAACGTCAACTGAGGACCATTTCAACGGTCACGGTAATCAAGGGGTGTTGCGTGACATTATCTCATTGAAGTGATTACATACCGTTGGTGATGCAGGTACACTGGCTGCATTAAATACGGGGTCATAATCATTCACTGGCTCTACATTTACAAAGACTGTAGCTGTGGCAGTCTGTGATGCGTCGCTTATCTCGACAATAAGTGTGTACGTGTCGTCATACTGGGCACTGTCATCGGGATCGAGATGGATTGGATCTGTTAAAGTCAACGCTTTGTCCGGGACATCAAAGGTAAACCGTGTTGTACGTGGTGGGGGAGTGGCACTAGTATCGGATGAAGACTCAATAGCAAAGTTAAATGCAGCTGTGTCAGGATCGTCTGGGTCTGTAACGACGAAGTTAACCAGGACAGTACCAGCTGTATCCGACTCCAATACTGTGGCGTAATACACCGTTTGGTCGAGTGTTGGGGGATTGTCATTGACATTAACGATATTAATTACTATATCTGTTGTCGCTGTTTTCACGGGAATGCCAGTGTCGCTAACTTTGATCCTCAAAGTGTATGTATCTTGGTCTTCGTAATTCAGACTTGCCTTGGTAGTAATGGCACCATCTCGCACATCTACAGAGAACTTATCTAATCCGCTGGGTGCTGGGTAAAAATAAATACAGCCTTATAACTTTTATTTTATTAAGACGTGATTTAAAAATTTTAAAAATTCTAAAAATTCCCTTTCATATCAAATAAACTGGAAATATCATAATTGATATATTCATACATTTCACGTTGTCATCATGGTTTTCTTCTTCTTTCAAACTGAAAAGTGTTAGCTTCACACAAAGATCATGTGGAACTTCTTTTGATGATGCAAATAAAACATATCATTTTATATTTATTTTGAGAAACATACAGCAAATATTTTGAATTTTCCCTAGCATATCGCAAAATCTTTCTTCACCCATGTAGGGTTTGAATCGGCGTCAGAATAATAATATACGCCATCACATACATCAGAAAATTTATACTTACGGGAAGATGAGATCACCTGGTATACCAGTTCACCGTCTGTTCCTCTGTCAGCGTCATCGACCGCAGGCGCCGGCACGACAGTAGTTTCTATAGCAACGTTTTCCAAAACACTGAAAGGATCGTAAGGAGCGTCTGTGAACGATGGGGTGTATTCGTTCACACCTTTGATCTGTATATACAAATTACGAGATAAAATATTTACATTGGAACAGAAAATCGAAGATAAAATGATTCGTGAAGATGATGCAAACAAATTATCAGCTAGAAAATGTAGTTGTAGAGTTCAAGAGAATGAATTCGTTCTGTACTTACCAGGACATCTTTAAATGGGAAACAACAGTGATATATGTTGTTTAAATTAATATATACAAATAGTTCATATTTTATTACGTTTTCTTTCTAATTATTAGATTGATTTCTTTCTAATTTCTTTCTATAATTTTGCACATGTGTATAATTTGTATCTTTGTGTGCTTACCTGTATGAACACCATGGCATCGCTGGTTTTCCCCCCAGAATCCTCTGCTTGTATATTTAACACGTACAAATCGCTAATTAATGCTTCATAATCCAGAACACCATTAGTAATTACGTCATTTCCGCTAATGGCAAATTTGTTGATTGCATCGTCACCGCTTGTGATTGTTATTGTCATTGTATCGCCAGTATCTGCGTCGGTAACACCCAATGTTGCCACTGTTGCTCCTGAAGTTACATGAAACATCCGAGTAAAATTAAAATTAAATAAAATGAATTTTATAACGTGAGTAACAATCTTTTAATTACTTGATATGGTTCACTTACCGGATACTCCATTTTCGTATATACTCTCATGGTACACAGTGGGGTTGAAAACTGGTGCGTGTTCATTTACTGGGTTCACTTGAATAGTTATAAGCGTTGATCCTTGGTTGTCACCTCGATCAGTCGCAGTAAGTGTGAAGGTGTAAATTTGCTGGCTACCGGCGTCAATATCCATGTCATCACTTGCAGTTATAATTCCAGTTGATTCACCAACCCTAAACTTACTCGCACCGGCGCCTACAATATGATTATATGCAAACATAATTTGTAATGAAAAACATTATATTTTTTCAATAAACGCCCTCTCTGGTGACATCAAAATGAGACAGATTCGTATAAGGTCAATGTCGCTAAAATATATAATTATTTTGTCTTTTGTGACTCGATCATACAAAACATCTGTATAATTGACAATGTGTTCTGTTAGAAGATAGTATAAAATTCAGTGGGGTTGCTTCATCGTTGATGTTGACTGTTGACAGTTTCACGCAACTATGATCTGGTTTACAAACGGTGCATTATGCAATTACAGTAAGAAAACTACTGAGGGTTTTAGTCATCTATCAGTGCCACTGGTTGTCCAATCACATCACTGAATTTGTATTGACTGACAGCTAAATACTGTTTCAGTAAACGACGCCTTTTACACGTGTTTATATCACGTGAACGTATAGCTATAAGATTGCAACTGACATCTCGTTGAAAGTGAGAGAATCACGCGATTTCAATTTGTTTGCCCGCAAACTAATACTGTTCCAAATACTATGGTTTATATGATTTATTCAATAGTAGAAGCGATGATGTTAGAAAATGGTACACTATTCGGGAAGAAAGAAACAAGTCTCGTTGATATCTCGCTCACAACAAGATATCAGCTATCGTCTACTAATCAGGACCGTTCATAATTTGTATGGAGTATGTGGGAAGGAAGGTCGGTCTGACCAATGTGTTCGTAGACCTGATGAACACGGGTAATTGTATCGAGCGTTGAATGTTCGAGGTTTTACCCATATATTTACCACTGATAGAATATGTATACGAATCCCCGGCGTCTGCATCGTTAAAATCATCTTTTGGTTCTACTGCCGGTGGGTTGATCCATGTAATGGCCGTTCCATCCTCGTCAACACTTCCAGTATATGACGATCTTGCAAACGAAGGACTTTCGTCAAAGGTCCCTAAAACGTTGATGGTCAGCACGTCGGATATAAAAGTTGAGCCATCACTTGCCCTATTAAAAAGTGAGTGAGATCGATCATTGAGCAAGGTATCCATCTATATAATTATGTGAATGTACATTTATACACAAAATAACGCAGCGATGTACAAAGTTGGCCAGCTTACCTAATGAGTAACGTGTACAAAGTCACAGCACTCGGTGGATCAGCTTGCAGGGAGTTTGCACTGATTACTTTCACCAAACCCGATGAGTCGATGGTGAATTTCAACGTTCCTCCGGGATTTTGATTAAGAATGGCGTAAGTGATAGTGTTAGAAGTATCTTGGTCTTGTACATTTACTTGAAACACTGAGGCAGATGAACCAGCGTCCTCGTTAACTGACCCTGTACCTGGCAGGTTTGTGAACACCGGAGGATCGTTAGCGTTCACCACATTAACTGTCACAGTTACACTGTCTTTTGTAGCAGGATCTGTTGTGTCCCAACATTCGATAATTACAGTATGCATCGGAGATTCTTCATAGTCCAGTGGTTCTGAACCAATGTACAACTGAAAATCAAATGATACATCACCCGGACTGTCGTTATCATAATTTTGCACACAAAACGTAATATGAATTTTACATGTTATATTTCATTGTCGCCGTGTGAATATTTATTTTGTTTTATCTCCCGTCGTGTGAGATTAGAGATATAATGTTATATTGAGACACGCTTCTTTCAGCAAATTGCCGACATTTCAGAATGTATATTGTGATATTCGATGTTAATAGAAATAAAGTAACAATCTCTCACACATTGACAGGAGAGACTCTCGGAGTAAGACGAACGTTCTACCTACTGGCAGTCTCTGATGCCTAGAACTGAACGGCTTGTATCAAATATGTTATATAAATCAGATGTCTAAATCTAAAAAAAAAAACGACAGACCCCATGCGACAATGAAATATGTGTATACTAAACAATATATGGTTTATTGTGCACTACAAATTAAATCATATATTTACCAATAACATAGCAGTACAATGGGTAGCAGAAGTGTAATTATAGTTCGTATTAGCAAATCACGTAGAATATATATGTATCACCCTACCTCCCCAGTATCTGGTTTGACGTAAAATAGATCCGCTGGTCCAGGACTGACAGACACAATTCTTGCCTCGTAGGCTGGATATACACCACCTGTAAAACTAGAACCTTGAACAACTATCGTGTCTTCTGCAGTGTTTTCATTTACGTTATACGACGTTCCTGGGTAGGTTAAATCACATTCTGCAACGTAGAACATATACTAGAGTTATATTATATTTTATGAAATGTTGCGCTGGATGTATGGGTGGGGTGGGGTGGGGGTGGTGAATGTTGTCTCGAATTAGTATGGTATTTTGGAATAATAATATGCTCTAACCAATCAGATTAAGATCAGATGTATTGTATGACGTTTATTTTAATGTTATTTTATATTTTGTTCAATTGTTACTAATATATTTTTGTACATATAAATAAAAATAAAGTAAAATATATAAAAAATAAAATATCAAACAAAATAAAAATAAAGCGAAAATAACTATATAAATCACATATTCATTTTACAGACGCGTCAATTTAGCATATCTGAAAATATCATTTTTAAATTTACGAATTGAATTCAAATCTTGCGTCAAACGTAGTTTGTTTTTTATATTAGTTCTTCTGTCATCATCGCTGACGACCGCCAATGTCCGCATTGAAATCTTGTTAAAAACAGTTTGCGAGTCGTTCTTATTTTTATAATAATATTTGTTTACTATGTTATAGGGGAATTTTAAAATATTGTTCGGACTTGTAATAATGATATCGATCTCTTTCAAACTGTTTGCTGATTTTAATAGCAATATTTATTGGTTATTTGAGCTTCCATATTTCGATAGCCTTTAAATTATTAAAATAAATTCACGATACTCTAAATTGTTATCCAAAATAATTACGATTATTGGTGCTGTTTCCTTGTGAGGGCGTAAAGTTAGTACATATTCATGTATAAGTATGGTAAGCAAGACTGTATACAGCAAACAAGTAGTTTAACCTCGAATGTGAGATGGGTGTTTAATGCAACTATAACTGCCTTTATTTGCGTCATAGTGACAAAATATTTTCCCGAACAACCACTAAATATTTACACTGCATCCACATATGCGCACAAATAACTTTAAACACTAAAACTCGATTTAAAAAAGATTCTTATAAGACGTCATTCGTACCTAAAGAAACAGTCGTAACATAAATGTGAGACTGTTTGACTAAGACGGCGATAATTGTTCAGTAATTGCCCATTAGTTGAGTAAACAGACAACTAGGACGGCTGTTATGTACCGGTGAGTCATGACAACAACGTAAACAATTGTAATGGTATTGAATAGTGCGACAAACCGTTTGAAGTGGCTTTGTACTCTTAGGCACGCCCGCTGATTTTAATGAGGAATCATTGCTCTATCTCCAACAATTAACTTTCTTGAGGGCACACTATGCCAATCACACGGTATACACATGTGGAGTCAGTCATTGTACTTCGTGTATGCTCGAAACCTCGTTCGTCAATTCCCGTGATTGCACCGTGGATTCATGGGACAGCATTGGTTATTTTGTTTACCTTTTTAATCTGTTTTCTAATGTACTCACCAGATTTAAATTACATTCAAAAACAAACAAACAAACACACTGATATGATTAATTCCTGAAATTTAAAGCTTCCGACATCCACGTTAGCGAAAGTACGATAAAAATGTTCTATAACCAACCCGTGGGGAAGAAGACACAAGTATATGAACCTGCTCGGTATGGCGAGAATGTTGAGCCTAGGTTCAACTTGTTCTTAACGACTCGTTATAAATACTAACTATGTGTTAGTATACAATCAGGGGAAGCGTCAATTTAAATTACAAAGCCATTTTACACCTTTTATAATTTCATTTTTGCTACTCAACAGTTTAACACTTTTGCTGTATGAAAACATATGCTTGTCAACTTTGAACACGAATGAAGAAATAACGCATAAATATGTTCAGATTATACACGTTTTTCTTTCGAAAGTAACCTCCAGTGTTGTAAACTATTTTTCTAATATTGCACAATATACATCGCATATGAACATCACGTATTTTCTAGTTAAAATGTTTATGATGATCGATAACTTTAAATAAGATATATATTATACGTTTACGATTAACAACTTATTTTGATCATTGTTATTATAATGTCGGCTTTCTAATGAAAAGATGAACAGTATTTATATAAGAACAATTATTAGTTTTCGAAAAGTTAGAATTTAGAGCTCGTTTGCGAATATTTCCGCCACAAACGTCTTCCCCGACAAAGTCATCACGCACTACGGCGATAATATAACTCAATGTACTTACGTTGTGTTTTCGCTTCTTGAAGTATTAGCAGTAGAGTAAGGAAAGATAATATAAAGGTAATTGCTCCCATCTTCTTATTTTTCTTCTTAATGCATCATAAGTCTTCTTTTTCGAGAAAAAAAATTATCTGCCGTTTTCAAATTATTCTTAGTGGTAACTGTTTGCTGTGGTCGCCTAACAATTACCACGGGAGGAAAATATGCCAGCTTTCAGTAGGATCACAATAAATGGTGAGGTCGTCGATGACGAAGGCCGCGTAGCATAGAATAATGAATGTATAAGTTAATGGTTGGGCGAGACATTCAGTTCTTTCAGTATACTATCTTTTTTATCCACACCGGGGCGTCACCCCTAGTGTGAGATTTAACAATATACGCACGCTATCGGTAACCAATTATCAGGAGATGCTCATATGAACATATCACATGATATGGATCTATATTAACAATACACGCTACCTGTGAATAAACCTTATGAAACACACGTTCAATTTTACTGATCTTAATCCAAATGTGTATGCTCATTCGAGATTTGTTATGTTTCGACATTTTTCGGGAATCGTAAGTAGACCGAAATCTCGCTTATGGAAATGTAAATCCGGCAGGTAACAGTATGGGTTGTTTGTAATGTATTTATATGTTCTACTGTTGTTGCTTTCAATGTCCATCAATTGCTGTAAATCCGAAATACACGTTAATGATTGCAACATACACAAATTGTATAGTCAGCATTTGCAATTGGTTCGATATTGGATTTTTGTCAAATGAGGGTAATGTCCCCAATTTTGCCCATACTAAGTTTGATTCTGTAACGTTTTCTCAACGCTCAAGCCAATTAAAATACATAGTCATATCATATTCTATGAACCCACTCAATGAAAAACATGTTTCCAAAAAAAAGTGCGAATCATGCTAGGTACCGACAATAATGTGCATCATCAAACTTCGATCGAAAACTATTTTAGTGTGCGTTTATATATTTACTCACAAACAAAATGCCACCGGCCAAAATGTTCACATAAACTATGATTCAAAGAAGACACTATTTGCAAAAAATAAATATTTAGACAAGTTTTGGTTAACTAGCATACAAGAAAATTTCATCCGAGAGCTAAAAATTCGCAATACCAGATATGGTTTGATATTATTTTTGAACATGTAAATTCCCATACAACTTGTCAAAACAATATATATTATATGAACAGTAGTGTGCACTGACACTGTTCAGTGAAGCATATTTGCGAAACTGTGGAGAGAATGTTTCGGTCGACCGACAATATGCGTGACTACTAGTATTTTTTGTGGCATATCGATTATTTAAATATATGTATCCATATTTAATCAAGTATTTTCATCGCCATGAGTTTGAAAATGCGATTAATCTTATATAATTTGCTCAATTACTGTACATCTTGAACAAAAGATTAACTCGAGACGATATCTTTAGGAGTATCTGCCAATGGTGCAATCAACTTGAAACTAATATTTAAAGACGGTAACTTGAGAGGGCGTTGTATCCCAGTCCCCTCTTGTGGTCACGGTCTCATACATGTTACTATAGCTTTGTTTTTCCCAAGAGACATTCTTTTGAAAGGAATTTAATTAATCTAGAATCAATACACTGTAAAAGTGTCTCCGCTAGCTAATGTTTTTGTTGTTTCAAGAACTTTTTACGTATTCCTTCCTTTCAAAAAATAGCTGTTCCAGGCGACAGTTCCGGACACTGGGTGTCACTCCGTTTCTGTTTTGAGGCATCATGTTTTGGAACTACATCAGGGTTGTGCGGCCATCTCTCTATCCAGTAACAAATTATTTTACTATACTAGTATCAATCAGCCCGGTCGAGCCACAAACACAACCTAAATTTATTTGTTACACTCACTCAGATTAGGATATTCAACCATATGTAGGATTTGAACTCAGAGCGATCAATCATAGGTCGGTGTAATTCTACCGTTTGCACTCTCGATGTGGTAAGCTTAATTCTTTGTCTTTAAAATATTTGTGATTTAATATTAGGAATGACACCCCCTGAGTTAATCAAGACGTTTAGACGTTCACCGACCTTACTTCGGACAACCGAGGTTCGTCAAAGTCACTATTGTCACGCCTCGTGGCCTAGAGAATTCATTCCGTTCTTTGTTCCACCGGCTTCATTGTGTTGAAGTGTTTACGGTTTTCTATTGTCAGCAGTATTCTTTTCTCTTGTCGAGTATAATATTATGCCTTTAAAATAACATATTTATCGAATCAGATCAGAACGTAAAATCTCATACAGTTTATCATATTCGTCGTAGGCAGATTATCAGACTATGGTGGTCGAGGTATCCGCAGGAGGGAGATGTTTATCAGCTTAACTTGTTCGTCACGATCAATACAATAAAATAAAACGAAATGAATAATATCCATGGGCGTACGGCTACTCAAGAGATCTGCTGTGTATTATATTGTATAGACACTCTCATTACAAGTTTTATTATTCCACAATGATAACGGATTAATATGACCGTGCATAGAGATTTGCAGATTCCTGTGTACGTGACTGTGTTCAGTCATTGAGTACCACACTAATATCAACTCGTTGGCGATTCACTCAACTGGAACCTGATCCTGTTCTGCCTCTATTCTGAAGGACTTTATTTCTTTTTTGTAACTGAAAATTATCTCAAATAGACATAGAACACGTATTACTGAATTAGGCTTACTTTATTCTGATTATTTAAAGGGCAGTGGTCGTCGAGCAGCGCGTCTTTGAATTTCATAAACAATGTATTTTACACGCGTTGTGTACGTCGCTATGAGTCCCATATCAAACAGGACGCGGCACGACGACCACCGCCCTTTAATTACCTTCGTTTTTAACCTTATTTAGTTTTCTTGAAGGGGCAGTCGCTCCATAAATGTTAGATTGTACCCCAAATCGTTTTGCGCACAACACGGTGACAACATGATAATCCAAATAACTTGCATTTTTCTCGTTAAGTGAAGGGAGAACTATACAATGCACCGCAATCTGTATATTTGGTTTTGATGAATATGCGGATAATTTGCAGTTGATATTTTATATGATTTGTATTTTTTACAGGTAAAGGATTAACACGAATTCGCAGATGAAAAAAAAATATATTTTTTAAAAAAACAATAGCCTAAGAAAAATATTTGATGATGCCCAGAATTATGACAGGTTTTTGTGTTACAGCGCCCTCAAGTGCCATCATAAAATGTAATTGGCATACATTTGTCCGCTAGGGGGCGTACACGCCGGCATCATTCTACATTGGCATATTTCGATTTTACAGCATAATATATGACTGGTGACTCAGAAATGACACTAATTACAATTAAGCACGTCTAATTAACTAAATACTAGGAAAATCAAGGGGAAAGTGGCAATAGGTCTATGAAGAAAGACATGATATCTGAGTTCAGTTTGTTGAATTTTATTTCTTCATGTCAGCTGAACGGCCATAGTTTGTGCATGACAATGATACAGTAATTTTATTTGTACCATGGCTGTCTTGAATTGGCCAATGAGGGTTCGAGGATTTCCATGGTTATAGGCCGTAGACCTGTGTTATGGCAAGATTCGCATCCAAGCGAGAATGGCCCCAAGAGCTACAAGCACGTGGGACTGGAGCAATATTAATTATGGACGTGAAAATATTTTTGACATTGCCCCTGAATGTGAAGTTTCCGAGAATTATATACTGTAAGTGATATTTGGTGTGTTGCCATGCAAAACTACTTTCCATACACTTTTGGGGCATGTCAATAAAATGAGCAAGTACTAGGTAGAGGGCGCTATTCAACACCAACAAATGAAAGAGGTATATCGGTGTCTCATATTAATACATCCCTTTCTAGAAGCCTCTGCGGATTACCAAACTGGCTGGAATTAATATAACGGCGTCAGCTTTCAATGTCAGTGTGTTAAAACGATTGTAACTTTGTTTGTACCACAAATCAATGCATACACAGAAGAGACGCTATAGAAAGGACGCCAAGGAATCAAAGTCGGTGTTTAGTGCCCACTACGGACACACAAAAAACCTTGCCACTGAGAATCCCAGAGCGCAGTAAGCTATAGGTTGTTAGAAATCACTAGTTCACAAATTCGTTATATAGCTATCAATTTGGAGTCGACTTTTGAATTCATCCTTGTACGAAATGTAGCGTTTGGGAAACGACTAAAATGCAAGAAGTGTATATTTTGGAAATAATTCCACCGGAGTACATGTTAAAAGTTTATTTCAGAAAAAACATACTCGTCTCCGAATTTTTCTAATAAGCGCTAATGATCTATGATAAAAACAATTTAAATTTAGAAGCCAGTGTTGATAAATAGGCCAACAATTTACATCATATATTTTTAGAAGACGAAAAGTATTTCGATGTCCGGTTTTGTGAAAAAATCATAAAAACAAACTTAGAAATGTTGGTGTTACATTTTCACGCGAGGCCCATTGAAATAGTATAATCGAAAATACAGTACACGGATCAGCTACGCGTGATTGTTGTGAAGACCAAGATAAGCGCTGTAAGTTGACACGCTCGAACATTTCGTGGAATGTTGAAAAATTTCTAGCATTACTGGTATGTTTTTTGTATTATATATTCAAGTTCAAGTTGTCAACCAATATTCCACACATTTTGATGAGTTGATGTACATGTGTTTCGGCGCTGCGCAAGAATATCAGCATAAGTTCGAATAGAGATGACAAATTTAACTTTAAAAAGATGTTTCTACGGTGAAAATGTACAACACACAAAATGGCAGAAATGACACTACTTCTATTATGACTAGACTGTCTGTTCTTTTCATTTTCTGTTACATTTATGTGCAAAACATCATGCAATCTGTGTAATTTGTACTGTAAACACAAAAATGTGTCAACCCCGGAAGTTCGATAATACGTGGTCACAGCCGAATCGAACAGACGCGATGTATTCGAGATACTGAGAATTCACCCGATGCCTTTTCTTTGATTATACTATCGAAAGCGGTGCAATGCCTTCATTTTGACGCAATTGTGATACAATGTGTAGAATAAGTAGTATATTTTGGTCCAGTGATGCGAAATGTTGCTACTTTTATCGATTGACTAATGTTATACAGCGAAAATAATGACGTTCGTCGCGTTGGTTTCAAGTGTAAAATAACACATATTGAGTGAGAGTAATAAAAGTTTAGACCTACAAGAAGAATATTTATCCTTGTAAAGCAATTGTTATGTTGATACATCGTTCAGTCATTGTACACTAACCAGAATTTCAGATAGGCACTAAGCTCTATATGGTTTGCACTTGAATAAAAACCTTCCATATTCTATCCTATCAGATCAGTTTTTTTAATGCGTCATTCTTCTGTTGATAATAATACCTATTTCAGTTCACTGCACGAGATAATATCCTTTCATCCGAGAACGTACACTGGAATGTGATAGACGCTGTCAGCGCTTTGTGGCAGCTCTTGGTTTTCATGTTTCTAAACACTTGGTGATATACGGATATGTTGCCATGACAGTGTGTAACCAAGCGAATCGGTATAAATGTGGTGTTTATATCCAATTTAAATCCTGCATTTGTTAATAACAATTGTAATTGTTGCTTGATTGTAACCGAATTAATCGTTCAATGACAAGGCCCTCTCCCCCGGGTATACGTCGCATGAATAGATACAATTTAAAGAATAATAATTAGGGGCGTGACCAGGTTACCGTTGAATAGAACTGTTTATACTTTATAGTATCGCAGAACTTATTCACCCATCGATCGGTAACGATATGTAGTCTGGAGTGACTACAGCCTGCATTCAACGAGGAAAGTCACGGAATGTGTTTGTGTTCTGTTTAATAATTAATTTGTCATAATCAATATCGATTGAGTATAAGATGTTGGATTTTATATGTTTGATGGTTTTTACGTTTCTAAATGTCTTTGGTAAGTTGATTTCTTTGTAACTTGCTTTGATATAAGTGTTCAACTGTAGGGATAGGGGTAGGGGAAGGGCGATGTGTACTTGTTTGATCGTTACTCAGATGAGAAGAATCAACTATATATGGGTCAAACGTTTAGTTATTAGTTATATTTTATTACATATCATCACGGGAGACGAGAGAACCACTTTTTCAGATCAGATAAAAGCAGTACTACATTTGCGAGTGATTCATGCCGTGTTTCCTTGCTTCACATTATATTACATACTAACACATCATTCCCATGTATTACAAGTATATGGAGACGTTTTGACGTCATGTCAAGAATATAAAGAAAACGAAAACATCATCAATGGATTGGTACGTATATTGCTAGCGTTATAATGTTTGTTTTTTTGTATTGATCGACTACATGTATTTGTTGGCTGTATTCAACTAAAGGCCAGTTTACCACAAGGTCCTCGAAAGATAGGGCAACTCAATGAAATTTAATGATTATATTTATATCATGGCGAAGAATAAATGGATGTTTAGTTATACAGCATTCATAAGTTGAGTTGACATATATATGACACGTTGGATTTAAACCGATAAAGTAAATTATCGCAAATAAAGAACAGTTCAACTCAAGCTTGTTATTTGTGTCTTTTGTAGTATTTAATAGACCCCGATGGTGATGGTCCACTGAACCCATTCACTGTACACTGTGATATGTGGACAGAAGCGTCTGCTGTAACTACCATACGGCACAACCAAGAAGACAGAACTCATGTACAAGGTTATGATGAACCAGGTAAAATTATCAAACTAATATATCCCACTAAATGTGCTCGCTCGACTAAACACTGCAGAAGACACAGTCTGCATTACGTTACATATAATTGGGTGTCACACCATAAATTAACATTGTATGCAGGTTTGCTAATTTTGCATTATATGGTATCCCTGTTCACGGGCCTTGGCCGACTATTCATAACGTTACGTTAACGATGTATCACTTAAGGCCGGCTTGTACAACTGAAATAAATATTTATTTTCCGACCAGCCACAAATAATGCACTCGACTTGGTATTTTATGTAAATCAGTTTTAATTTATTTATGTAACTTCAAATTTTGCATTAACACTGACCTGAGTATAACCTTATTATTATACATCTTTTCCTCCCAATGATATATCATAAGAATGCCGAAATCCAAAAAGTTTAGAACAGAATCACTTCTTTGTGTAGATCCCGGTCAAACACTGGTAGCAGCCATGTTTGTTTTTATTAATAGGGGACGCTTGCCCGTGTAATCATTCCATATTTGGAATTCGCATTTCCTAATATGGTAGGATGAAAATAACCCTCACCCATTGCTCATTGGTTATATGTTATTTCAGGTTCATATATGGCGAACATTACATATGGGGATGTGTCCATTGACCAGATTCGAGCTGTCATCGATACATCCGATACCTGTGAGCAGTGGATAGGTTATGATTGCTACCATAGTGCATTCAACTTTGACAGTGAGTAACAACGTGCTGTTGATGTATTCTTCTTATCCACTCCTTTAATATATTGTATTGAACTTTTACGAACAGTTCAAATGTTGCGTTACAGCTGACGTTCCCAATGCATGGTGGGTCGATTACTCTGGTACAAACCATTACTATTGGGGTAGTTCCGGTAACCAAGAGGGCTTTTGTCAGTGTGGAGTTAACGGCGACTGCGATGATGCAACAGGTGGCATCAACGATGGTAAGTCAGAAATATGAACAACAAGTAGGTGTTATACCTCTGTATAGTAAGAAGTCAATTAATTCAAGCACAAATGTTTTAGTTGCGTTATAAACGAAACACATACTGTCACACTGTATGTACATCTTTTCTAGCTTTAAATATCAAGTGTAACTGTGACAATAATGACAATAAATGGAGAACAGATGAAGGATACCTAACGGATAAGACTGTTCTACCAGTCACTGCATTGCAGTTTGGCGATAGTGGAGACAACACAGAAGAAGGGTACCATACTCTTGGCCCACTAACTTGCATAGCAGGTATACATAATTACGATAATTGGTTGGTATTTGTATAATATCGAAAAATGTTTTTGACTTGATTCTGTCAGAACTCATCCTCGAGATTTATTGAAGCCGAATTCGGCAATCTTCAGGCTCTCTTGTTGGGCTCTGTTAAAATTCCACGGAGTAAACGAGATAATGGCGTTTGTGTTTGGACTTATTCATTGTAACAAGTGGGCTTTGAATAATTAATCATCAGACTACAGAGGCAGTATTGTAAATTTATAGTAATATAATTCATTTCCATATATTCACATTTATTGGGTCGTTAAACACGTCTTCTGAGGACATTTTATCACACAGATCAGCGTTAAACAACATCAATTAAAGGGCGATGGTCGTCGCGCAGCGCATTCGAGAGATGAGCAAAGATGGCGACTTTGACTCTTGCGCATACCAACGTGTACAAACTGATACGTTACTAAGCTTTGTATTTTATGGTAATGTGAAGGTATCAACAGAATCACTGGCGGTAGTGAGTGCACGTTGCGCCCAGATCAAAAATCGTACCTGTAAAGAGCGCATTGGATTATGGGTAAAGCCGTCGGTGTTTATCAACACAAATGTCGCACATGCGCGGCACGACGACCACCGCCCTTTAATTGTGATTCTTTTTCTTTTTTGGTATTCGAAATGAGGCTTTTTACCTTTTATATTTATTTTTTTATTTTTTATAATGTGATAACCGATAGTATTCCAAACTACTGAATCTACTCCGTTAACAGCAGAAACACCAGCATGGACTAAGACATCTGGGGGTGTTGCCACAATCGTCGTAATTTGCATTATAATCGCCATTGCTACGCTGATCGCCGCTGGATGCGTTTATCGCATTGTTGTAGTTGCATGTTATCGTAAACCTGTTGCACTTGAAGGACGTCCATCGCTTAGTACATGTTGTGAGGATATCTGTGGTATTAAGTTTAGAACCTATATCAATGATTATTACAAAAGAAAGAACACGTGAGTAAAATAAAATATGTTAAAGCAAGGGAGCATGCGTCAGGTGGCCATAGCGTGTCACTGTTTACAAACAAGCGTCTACCCTATGAGCCTTTGCGTTCTTAGCGTGTGTTGTTATCATCGCTTGGGACATAATTCCCGCGCGTGCGCAGGTGACGACCCTCCCGCTGTAATAATAACGATTGTAGTTGTCATATATATTAACGCCCACTAAAATCACCACGATCGCTTTGATTAGTAAATACACGATAACGTGGCCGCCTGGTATTTAATGATCTTGACAATCATTGTAGCTGTATATTGATAATAGCTGTTAAGGAAAGAAAACTGAGTAAGTAGATTGTGTTCTTGGTGAATACGCGGCTTTTGACAAATCTTGGAAAAAGGTCTGCTGGTGTTTATATTCAACCGGAACTTGTCGATCACGGAATAGACTATTAAGGGTCCTGTAGCCTAACACATGGACTTGGTTTCGTGTCCAAATCTCGTATTAACTTTGCACAATACAAAAGTCCAGGAACGAGACTGAATTAACACAGTTTTAATCCATTAATACAATTTTGAAAAGAAATGTTTCTAATTTAATAATCATTCAAAATCTTTCCGTATCTGTTACAGTAAACATGTATGGAAAACTTCAATGAACCAAGTAATGGTCACACCCAGGGAAAGAGACAAGATAAATGGGGGTATGGTTGATTACATCAATACCGTAACCACGGATTCCTTCGTTGGTTCTTTAACTGATAGATACCGAGACATTATCATGTGCCATGTATGTATTAAAATTTAGCATCCTCATCACACTTAATTCATCTATTCTAATTAACTTGGTTCATTATTTACAGATATCATAATGTATCCAACGCAGTGTCATGAAGACCATCGAATGAACAAAACAGAAAAACATTCACTGTCTACTAGTAAGAAGAATATGGGTGACAAGGTTAGTAAATATATTGTCGATACGTCTTGCTGTATGTTTGTTGTACCAATCGGTGTATTTTATAAGTAACAACCCCCAAAACACCAAGATAATTGTTATACTTTGAGTTCTTATATTGACCACGTCTTTCCTTCTTGGTAAACCACATTTCCGCTGCTGGACCAGATTGTACAATTACGGGAATAAACCCCGGCATTCTATTTCGCACACAATGCAGTCCACAGAATAGCACACATGTAACAGTTCACCGTTACTGATAGTAGATTATTCAGTAGATAACCGATATTTTTCAAATATCAAAAGCAGAAACATTGCACAAGACTGTAAGAAGATTCTGTTCAGGCATATAGCGTACGAAAGATACGACCCCTTTGATCTCCACAACAGCGCCATCAGCGATAAAACTACTGAAATCGTTCCTTTTGAATGCAACTCTAATATGAATATTTGAATGAATGACTGATTGACGGACGGACGAACGAATGAGCGGATTGACTATTTATTTGTATATTTTTTAATCGTAGATGTTCCCAAGTCTGCCAGAAAGAAAGGTTTCCCCTGTTGAATTTACTAAAACAAACGAAACAAAAAGTAAGTGCATAACATACACATATTTGACTATTAATGTATATAGGGTAGCTGTATTTTAGCGTGAGACACAGTAAACTAATTTGAAATTTCTAATTTCTACAATATTGAATATATGGTAATATTAGCCTACCTTGTAGTACAACCTGACAGTGACACAAAATTTAGTATTTAAAGCTCCTTCTACTGTAAGTGACACAACTACGCCGACTAATAGTATGTGTAAATTACTGGTAAACTAAAAGTTGTCCTACCCGGAGTGGGGATGTTACCTATGGTCACAATCGACTTACTACTTTCGGCAAATTGTTCAGCTTAGGCCAGAAAAAAAATCTCTGTTTCTCGTTTCATGGAAATTTTAAAATGAGGCGGCGAGGTGATTTTGTTTTGAACACTGAACTAAAATGGGGGAAATTTGAGACAAGTGCGAGTACAAGCGCATTTTGGAATGCTTTAGAAGGAAAAAAACGTCCGAGGCGCATAGTTCAAAATGATGCGCGCGGAAACGAGAAACAGAATTTTTTTTTTTTCTCAGTCTTATATACACGGAGATGGAATTCGGAGATATGCGTCTTTCATAGATTGAACAATGATCGTGAACAATATTAGTCATTTCGTATACACTTTAGACAAGCATTTCAAAGATATTGATTAGTTTATTTTGTCATTTATTATGAATAATATATCCATGTCTTTCTAAATTACATGAATGTTATATTGCTGTGACGTAATGATTGGTCAGATGTGAGTAGACATCACGGCAACGGTTTATAATCTGCAATCCATTTATCTTGTATTCACGACATGAACATACCCCATCAATGGGTTTATGACGACCAAATCACGATTACGGTGGTGATTTTAGTTTGCCCCCTACACAGTAACTAATAGTTTTGAAATGTTTCCCATTGCAGGCAATGATGAGTCCCATCATCGTCCGACTGTCCAAACTAGAGGTTTGAAAAGCAAGACGGCCAGGAGAGGAAGGAGAGGAAGACGCACTAACAAACATAAATAATGTTCCCAATTGTAAATTTTATAGCTCATTTACTAATAATAAATTAGTAGCTTGATTAAATCATTCAGACACTATCAGAATATAGAGAATATTTTATTAAAACAAAACAAACAATCGTTTAACTTTTAATTCAATTCGCACCTAGCGATGTATTTTTGATGGAAGATTTACCATCAAGCAATTTGCGTCTGCGAAGTGATTGCTAGATATAGTAGTGAACGTGTCTATTAATATAAATAATAATAGAGTAAATATTCTTAACATGAAAACGAATCTATATAATGTAAGAATAAAATGCCAATCAACAGATATTTTAAACTATAAAGACATCTGAATCTCTGTTGTCTGTTCAGCACTTGGATGCAACATGCGTTCTCCGTGATGAGTTTCGGTGGCAACAGAACGTAATTTTTCGAATGAATAAGTTTTTCTAATCGAATTATGTACACAATGTGCTTATTGCGCAGAATCCATCCCCTAGTTATAGACAGAACACAGGCCATATATCATATACAATGTCGTTGTGTTACATTCATGTGAATCAAATTACAGAAACGTGTTTTTGTCAAGATTTACCTGGAATAGAGTGCTAATAATAAATGATATGTATAACAACCATTGACTGGAGCCACGTGTTAGAATAATAGCGACACGGATTTATTTCATCCCAAATGCGCTCGCTTTTGTTAAACATGTCTAGGTGTGTTTTACTCGATTTCAATCTACTTCTGACATCACGAATTTCACACGTATCATAACGAGTGCAACGGTACAAAGTGTAACCACGAACCCAAGAGACAGTGAGACAGTGGCAAATCACAATGAAAGACATTGTGAGACATTCTAATAAGCACGTAGTGGAGTAATGGTTCACCTCTATTGAATATTAGATATGCCAGTCAAATGACACTTAAATAAAGTATGGCTATATGTAGTCTGATATCAAAATACATCATACTATCAAAAATAACAATGAATGCATTGAAAATTACAAACGCAGAGAAAATATACCACCTTTGCCTCGTCTACAATGTCGAATATATGTGTTCACTTAAATAGTACTAGGACTTTTATACGTGACAATATTCAAAAAACGATACGAACAACAGTATTCAGGCGCTTTACATTGGGCTAACCGGGACTCGATTATCTACCTGCCACATTTGTTATGCCAATTTCATAACAATGACTAAAACAACGAAAACACATTCCGAGTCGTACACTTATGTACTTCGCTCTCCCGTTCGTAATAACTGTTATTGTTTTTTTTTAGTACATTTCATTTTGATTTCATGCTTCGTTCCCCCGGAACAAAATTCGAGCATGGTCTTTTATTGGGCCGACTGAATACATTCAAATGTATATTATGTGTGATTTGAAGAACAAATTTTAAGTCAGACATAGCACTGTCTTGTAACCGGTAATCGGGGATAAAAGGTCTTAGATAAAAATGTCTCGGCATGTGGCCTCAGTTTTTTATTTATATCTAAGTCCTCGTACTTATTCTATACATCTTGTTACGTGTTTCTGTCGTTTCATCCAATGAATTTAATTTCCAATTTAACACACATCAGTGACATTTACGTTGACATGATGGTGCGTTCGTAGTCCTCGTCAAAAGCATCACGCCTGGATGATGCACTTAACGAGGACCACGAAATCACGCACCTGCATTTCGTAAAGTGTTCAAGTGACAGTTGCATTGTGACGGTGACGTTTATAGTAAGCGATTACTAAAGCCTCTCACAGCGTTCATCAAATCTGTTAAATTGCACGCAGTGCCAGGCGCTACCACCGAGATGTCACACGGCTGAAAAGGACCGAATAGTTTAGTTATATAGCGACTTTAGTTTGTTCAAACCGTGCGGAAACCGAGTTACAATAGTGCTACTACGAAACTATGTGATAGACAGTCCATGATGTCGTCTCTCGGGTGGATTTTTATCTCTATTGTGTTTAATATCATAGTGGTGGAATCAGAAGGTAAGTGTACCTTGTTTGTATTCAGTGTCATTAATATTTCTAACACCATAAGTGAAAAGAAAAGGTGGCGTCAGGATGTTATTTCTACTGCAGTTATGAGATGGCATCAAATCAATAACATAAATATATATTATTCTCCAAAAAGTAATGCTATAACATATATTCTTTTAGCGCAAAGTAAACTAAAATGTTATTACGACTCTCTAGCAAGCTCACTGTATCTCATATATTTGATCAGAACATGATACATACTTTTACACTGAGCGTTCAGTTTATATCTGTCACATATATTCAAAGGTATGGTATATGCCGTAAATTATCAATGCTCTGTGGTTGGATAAATTAATTGTTGTTTCACAATTGCTTTTTATGAATGCAGAGTTCATTATATGAAAACAAATCTGTGTCAGTCAATGCGGTAGCCAAGCAACAGTGCACATAGCGAGTATAGAGACGGAGTTCCATAATATCAAATACGAACACATTTCGTTACTCACTAAAACAAAGGACCGATGTAATGTGTAATGGGTTCCAGTAATGAACTAACAAAAAACGTAACTTTAAAGTCATAGTAAATTGGATTATGGCCACAGGAATCTAATTTCTAGTAGTTGTTACCAGAGATGTCGATAAAAGCACCATCGTTTTTTATGAATCACGCCCTAAAGTGATGTTTTATTAATGTAATACGAAGCCTGTTTTGCAGTGTTTCGTGTCTCTATTCTCACAAACTATTCTGTACTAAAACAATGCCTCAAATGTGCTCAGGTTATAACGCCCATCTCTGCGAAATGTTCGCCTCGCAACACTGCACGGTTTTTCGATTGATTCAGCTCGCCCACCTCAGAAGTGTTATTATGTTGTTTCCGTTCGTCACAGATTGACATTCCCGTTAAACATGCGGTCAGTTAGTATTGCAAAAACACTGTACTGTGACAATGTGTCCTTAATATATACTACGAATTGGTAAACAGTAGAAGTATTTTAGTTCTCCCATTTTATACAGTTACGAATTTTAATAACAGCGAAGACAAAATGATGCTGTCCAGTGCCATGGAAACGTGCGCTCATGTGGTGAAATTGTTACTTAATATAATCGTTATTTAATTAATGCCAACATATATGTCCTACTCAGAGTGAAACAGCTGCGGTGACTTATATATTGCGATTTTAAATCACAGCACCATTTTAATATGGAGTTAATTAAAATCTGATTATACGCCACGCATGGTCGTATTTGTTGTTGTTGAACTCCTTTATGAATTGGTTACCATAGAAACAAATACACAATCGTATAGCTCACGGAAATGTATATGTGACGGTAGCGTCGATAAACTTAGCCATATATAGTCATGTCAGAGTTAACAAGCATAATACAGTAACAAATTCAACTTTTGTGAAAATAGTTAATTTGCAATTTCACAATTATTTTGAGTTTTAAATCTAATTCTAAATAGTGTAGTGATTGGTACACCACATTTAGTAGTTTAAAGGGCGGTAGTCGTCGCGCCACGCATGCGCGAGATATATGGGTCTCATATAAAAAAATTGGCGACTTTGACAGTTGCGCAAATCAACGAGTACAAACTGAGACGTTATCAAGCTTTAATTAGATATTTTTACCGATTTTTAGGTGATTTGAAGGTATTGAAGAAGTCAATGGCGGTAATTAGTGCAAGTCGTGCTCAGGTCAAATCTCATACTTGTGATTTCCATTAGAGGAGCGCATTAGATTATGGGAAAATCTATGTATATCAACACAAATGTCGCACATGCGCAGTGCGACGACTACGTCATTTAACGAATTTAATATCACTAACCTAATTTCGCAATGACTTTACGTTTTCCTAGTAAATATTATTATATTTCGTTATATTCCAATAGATCGATTAAAACAACGTTCTGATAGCATGTTGGATTGTACAGTTTTTTATCGTCTCCGTTTCCAAAGTTTTAAACGCGTATGGCCAACAACGCATAATGTCCAGTTCATGTGCATTGCATTAGTGGTACAGATAAATCTCCACATAGTGGTCAGACGGTGTGACGACGGTGTTACGAAAACTACGGTCTCATCTAAAATGACATAACTCGTTGACACTTATTACATGAGTACGTGCTAATGACATGTCAACTGACAGACATTGACAGCAGACGAGTAGTCACGAAGCTGGGAAAAACAAACACACCCATGTACACACGAACACACTCAACATCGATAAATCAATACGTATACAATTGCGTCGTAGGACATTGAAATTGGCTAGGCTAAAGGGTCAAATCAATTGTCATATAATAAATGACAATAATAATGACATTGATAATAAAAATGACGTCACTATGCATTACATAGTGTGATTAATTATTTACGAGGGCGTTCGATTCGGAAAAACAAATAAGTAAACAAAAACAAAAACTAAAATATTTACAGATGTATTTTTAATTGCTGTGCCTTGAAATAGTTTCTAAATACACTTCTTGGGATTCCCAACAAATCACTGAAAATCTAAATAAATTAGGGTTGAAAATGTCATTACCGTCTGCACAATTTGACCTCATTTGATCTCTACAGCTAAGCAGCCTACTATGATTACGTCAGTTCTATTATTAGTAGTAAGATTTCGTAATCCTAGGACACGTCCCCAAATGCTGTTTTTTATATTGAATAATGATTTGTACACACGGGGAAAATATTATTAATTTTTAGATTGCTTTGACTGATTCACTGGTTTCTAAAACAGTGCATTCTATCTATTCACAGTATGTAGTATAACATATGCCAATATGGCGTTTACGGTACCAGAGAACTCATATACTGGTTCTGCTATCATCTCAGCAGCTGATATAACTGCCACTCATTTTCCTGAAGGCGAAGGTAATCCCCCATACTCTATAATAGTATCAGCACCTGGACCCACAACTTTATTTGATATTGATGAAACTGGTGTGGTAAGTAACCCCTATGTATAGTGTGATAGTTACCGTTGTTGTTATAACAACAACAACAACAATGGAAGTTATTGACACAAGATGCACTTTGTTACAAAATACGTTAAATAATGATGTAATCTGTGCCAAGAAAAGAATACATTAACAAATCCGATAAATTCATTATTATGGGTCTCCATGGAGACGATAGTGATGGTAGGCGGCTGCCATGGTGCTGGAAAATATCAAGAAGCCAGTGAATGTTTGTGTAGATTCCATTCCTGGTTGATAATTGTAAATAAACACCGACAGCACATAAATACCTCCGTCACACTAGTATATATGCGATATTATCTATTGGAGCGTGTTCCTATAATCTCTCTCCAGCTAAGTGTAGGGAGTACAGTTCCAAATTTCGAGACGCATGGTGGCACATACACGGTGGATATCATATGTCATCAAATATCTGGTAACGACAGTATTGTTCAAGTTACAGTAACCGTATTGGACGTGGTTGAAAGTAAGTATGTGCGTCAAACAATAATGAATAACAATTAATAAAATAGAATCAATTTCCAGGAATTTACACGTATCACAAAGCCATATTCATGGTCATAGAACACGCCCAGGGTTTTTTTTTCATTAATTGTTACACCTACAGGATGTACATTGTCATGGCCAGATGGGCCATACACTGTGGCAGAAAATACAGCAACTGGATCTGAAATAATCGCACCTTCAGAACTGTTATCATCATTTCCAGAAGATGCAGCGACAACCGCTTACACTATATCTTCAGTTAGTCCAGGTGCAATGAACATGTTTTCCATTGATTCAGCAACAGGTGCAGTAAGTGGAAAATTTAGTATAGTTTAATTCATTTCAATTCACTTGAGGGACGATCATCATCAATCACTTACCAAATAACACAATTGAGTGTGTTTGTTGCAGATACTGATAGGCACATCACCCCCTGATCGCGAATTGGATGACCCAATACAAACCATTAACGTCACCTGCCACCAACTGTCAGCTAATGATAACACAAACACTGTTACTGTCATCATAATCAACGTTTTAGAAGGTAAGCATAGTGATTGTGAACCGACGATCGACACTGGAGCGAGACGATATGTTACGATAATGATAATGTAGTTGGACCACCAAATGAAGGGACCATGAAGGGACCATTTGTCATTATATTAACCACATATTATTTTTGTTATGTTATTATTTAAAATAGTATTGTGCCTGGTGACGGTTTCCTGTTATAATGTCACTATGTCAATTTAATGCGCTATCAGATTAGCCTAGACAAGAATTCCTGAAAGCCTTTGCTTTTATCAGTAACACGTGATTCAACTATAATCATTTATAGGGTGTTCACTTCAATGGAGCAATGCTTCATATATCGTGGATGAAAACTCAAACAGCGGATACAGTGTGATAGCAGCTACTGATATAACAGATGAAGTTTTCCCAGAAGGAGCAGGAAGTCCTAAGTATAGAATCAACAGGGTTGTTCCAGGCCCAGACGAGTTATTCAGCATAGATGCCAGTACCGGTGCTGTGAGTTTCACGTGACCGTTCGTGATTTGACGAAACAACTATGTTAAATTTGTACACGGCGTTTTTATAATCATACTTTTGAATATTTTTTCAACAGATTGTTATTGGTAGCCTTACTCCAAATTTTGAAGTTCATGGTCTCATCGTGCAAACGATTTTCGTAGATTGCCTGCAGCAATCTGGTCCGAATAATACCCTTGCTGTAAACGTTAACATTAGAAATATCGATGAAACGCCCACCTTTGTTAATCTGCCGACTACAATCAAAATCTCGGAGAGTATAGGTGCTTCCCAGTCAGTGTTCAAAGTATTCTACAATGATCCAGAGGGCGTTGCTGTCACCGTTGACGTCAGTACACAGACTCCAGTTACTCCGACCTTCACAGTAGTAAATGGAAATGAAATACACTCTCCTGCTGGATTAGATTATGATTTCAGTGATCAGACGTACACGTTCACTATAAGGTACTCATCATTCTGTTTAGTCCTGCAATTTAAAATTTCAAAATAATTTTTAAAATATACATGTATGTATTTTTGTTAAAAAAAATTATATAGATTTTAAAATATTTTGTAATTACGTAATTTAGTATATTGTTTGATACGCATATTTTTCAGTATAGATTGTAACAATTAGATTTGATTTCAGAGTTGATGATGGAACAAACACAGATACATCCACGTTGACTATCAATCTATACAATGAAATTGATGAACCACCGACCTTTCCAGCATCCGATTACACTGGTACAATAGAGGAAGAACAGTCGTATGGAACAGTTGTGACATGGACAACAAACCCTGTGGCTGATATGATTGCAAGTTACAACGAAGTCGGTGACAGTAAATTATATTATGAGATATCCGGTATGTTTTCTCTTTCACAGTTTGTAAGTTGTACCTGTAATTCAGCTGTGAGTGGAGCATGCTATGAACACGTTTATACTATATGAATATATTTCAGGGCCATATTCGGATGACTTCAACTGTGACCGGTTAACAGGTGTTATCACAACATCGAGGACATTAGACGCCGATGACGTATCATCAACTGCGAGCTACTCTCTAACACTAACAGTAGGAGATTCTGCCGGCCATACTGATACTACGACGTTAAGTATTACACTTACTGATATCAACGATAATAAACCAATATTTTCACCATCCTTGTATTATAAGGCAATTGACGAGAATAGTGGGTCTGGTGAGTCACCGAAGTTTTAATCGAATAAACCGTGGTATTTAAACACCAATTATATAATTCATTTTTAATTCAAAACGAATATTGCGCTGTTTATTACAGGTGTCATTGCAGCTACAATGACAGTGTCCGATGAAGACGCTGGTGTATTCGGTACAGTAACCCTAACCATTACCAGTGGTGTTACTGCGAAATTTACATTGTCTGGGAATGAAATCTTAACAACAGCAGATCCATTGGACTATGAAACCACTACTAGTTACACTATGACAGTGACTGCAACTGATGGGGGTGGTGAGATAAGCACAGCTACAGTTATTGTCGATGTGAGTGCAATGAATAGTTAACCAGACACATTATGAGATGTGTATATTTTAATGAGGGTAATATTTATAACACTTACCTGGGGACTAGAATTGCTTTGCTAAAAGAAAAATATTTATATACTATTTATTCTTTTATTATTGCGAAAATTATGTTACTTTACATGAATCGAAAGAGCTTAAGCTGAAATTAAAAGCCTGTTTTCATGTTTGGGAACCCAACATTTTCCCAACTTCATTGAAACGGGAATCTCACATATATCGCACACAGATCCTTTCATTATGCAACAGTCAGTTGTGTTACCGATATATCGTATGTCCGTATCTAAGATAATTTTAATTGACGAACCGCAGTTGTCTTACGAGCAACTGATTACATGATACAAGATTATAAGAAATATAGATATTGTTTATGATCTCTATTCCTCGATATAGGTGGTACCAGTGAATGAATTCATGCCGACTTTTGTCACATTTCCTACTTCCTCTATCACTGTCCCTGAAAACAGTGCAGTTAGATACGAAATACTAGCAGCTACGGATGTAACAGTAAGGGATAGCGATCACGGCGACGATGGCGAAATAAGTTTTTACATCAGTTCAGTCACAAGTAAGTTTTTAAGTAGAGCTTGACGACAAATTGATACAAAATATTTCGCGAAATCAATCCATACGTGCGACAGGCAATATAAATCGTTCCAAAACTGTTATCTTTGTTATTATTATTGTTCGAGCATTGCATCTAGTTTATGCTATTTAGTGAAAATCGATTATTACTATCTGTTATGTATTTTTAAAATAAATTATTAATGTTAGACTGTATTGCGTGTCATGTGTAGTTCTCCCCTCACGCACACTGGCCGCTATATTGAACAAAAGACTGAAAATCGGTTATTACTATTTATTATGTATTCTTTGAATTACGTTTATCTGCGGAATATCCATAAACGTCACATGTAAACCATAACAGAACCCAACCAACACGTCTGAATTGTATTGTAATGACATCCACATTATGCATGTAGCTGTACCAGCGAACAATTCACTCACATTTAATTGTACACAGTGATATATTCTCGACAATACCGTTTTATTACACATTTTCAGATGGTGGTATAAATAAATTCAGCATGGATTCATCGACTGGTAGAATATTGACAACAAGTACATTCGACTACGAAAGTGGGACTATTTCATACACTATTACGTGTGTTGCTGCCGATCAAGGATCCCCGGGACCAAGCAGCACAACGAGAAGCTTAACAGTTCATATATCAGATGAAAACGACAACGCTCCTTATTTTGATCAGAACTATTACTCATTGACAATCACTGAGGGTGATGTAATTGGTACCGTCATCACAACTTTCAACGTGAACGACGATGATTCTGCAGCAATCACAACAATTAGTTACCAGTTCTACTCGGGTAATGAACTTGATAAGTTTGAGATGGACGATACCACAAATAAACTGAAGGTTAAATCAGTGATCAACTTAGACGATGGTGATCCAGAAGAATTCAGTCTGTTACTCCACATACTAGATGGTGGCACGCCTGAGTTAACGGGAACAGCTATGATATGTATAAGTCTAACCTCATCCAATGATTATGATCCGGTGTTTAGTAGCACAAATCCAAGCACGATTTCAGTGAGTTGTAAATTTCATCTTATCAAGGCTACACCACACATTCGCGGTTTTGAATGAAAAAAAACCGCATGTCGGCCAGGCATGGTGTCAGACTTGTATTTCACATTTGCATGGGTAAAAATCTGCTGAGGTATAAAAGCGGTTCATGATATAAACTTCTCGGCCAAGGATATATCAGTTGTTTTGTTTTAAAATTTTTCTGCTTTTCAATTCGCAGATTGCTTGTCTAACTTCTTATTTTGAGTGACCCCAAACCATTGATATAATATTAATTCGGGTTACATTTGTACACGACAAAGTAAATTGGAGTAAATTGAAATGCATTTTCAAAGGCCAAGTATCAAATTTTGTATGTGAATCCCCCACACACCACCATATTCTCGAGCCACACGAACTTCCCTGATTGTAGCTGTTCAACTTTGAAATGTAGGGCGAATTATATACGACTTTATTTCTCTCTATCTATTGCATTCGTGAGGAATGTTGCGCTGGTTTATATTACACTACATTGAACCACAGCGATCTGTTACTATAATAAGGGACTAATCGAAAATATTGCTATCATTTTAAGTAACGGATCATGACAATCGTGGTAAATGATACTTTCCAGGAATGTTCTAATGAATATTAATTTTTTCGCAATTCAGATTTCTGAGAATGCGTATATTGGTACTACTGTTGCAGAAATCAGTGTTAGTGATAACGATTATGGCTCTGACGGAGATCTAACCTTGGTAATTCTAAGTAAGTGTTTCTAATATGTGTTTATGTGTTTATGTTGGTATTTGCAACGGTTAGGATCTGAGTGTCCAGTAACGAATAGATGTATTGAAATAAATGTATTCAGTATTTTCAAATTATAGGTGGCGACAAAGAAAACAATTTTCACTTGGATAGTTTCAGAAGAATCCTGCAAACTAAAAAGTTGATTGAGTACGAAGATACTGGGTCACCCATCGTATTGACAATACAGGCCACCGATGGAGGTGCCACGCCACGTACTGCGACCTCCGATATCTCAATCATTGTCACAAAAGAGAATAACTACAAACCAACTTGCACACCAACGAATTATGTAAGGTCAATATTAGAATCGGCTGCTGCCTCTGACCAAGTAAGTATTACCTCTGGCATATCTTATAATATATTACTAAGCAAGTAAGTATAAGTTCGTTAATTGCTTTGAAGTATTCTAATATATTCCGGTATCCCCCCACTGCTATAGGTTACCCAGATTAATTGTCAAGATATGGATTTGGATACATTATCATATACTATTATAGCTGGCAATGGTGATGAGAACTTCCAAGTCGATGGTGATGGTCTTGTTTCTATTGTGTCGTCAGGTAATCACGGTGCTAGCTACAGTGTTCATTTAATCAAATTTAATGACAATGAATGGATTACTGATCGAAGAAGATCGTACACCATATATCATTCAATATGCGTGGCTCTTGTCATTGGCGCTCTTACCACGACACATTTCTACTATTGTAGGTGATACTATAGACTATGAATCAGGTGTAGACAAATATTCACTGACTATTGAAGTGAGTGATGGAGCCCATATGATAAACGTATACGTGACTGTGAATATCGAGGCTGTGAACGAGGACGCCCCTGCCTTCGACGTAGCTGGATGGACAGTTGATTTATATGAAAACACTCCGCTTGGGGATGTTATTGTTTTATTGGCATCATCTGTGACGGACACGGACACTGGAGGGCATGGTATCTCGTTATACATCATAACGTCGGGTGAGTATTGGTGTAATTCTTTGAGGAATTCTTAACTTACTTTTACTGTAAGGGATTATTAATCGTAATCTACATAACTATGCGTACTTACAATTTCCTCTAACAGGTTGCGTGACACATGCACACAACAATCGCACAAATTAGAAAATACACAATTGAAAACAACATTCATTTCATTCACATTTTCTGAACATCATTTACCGAACTGCTGCAATCGTAACTTTATTTTGTAACATACACTATTGTTTCAGTTGACCCACCCAGTGGAAAAGATGCGTTTCAAATAGATGGTCGTTCTGGAAAAATATACCTTGCTAAATTATTAGACTATGAAGATGAGTCTTCTTATGATATTGCTGTTGAGGTTGAAGATGGTGGTGGATTGACAGACACTGCAGTCGTTGCGATTCGAGTGCTAGACGTCAATGACAATAGTCCATCATGCTTAAAGTCTTCATTTTTAATAAACGTGGATGAACATACATGTGAGTCAAACCTTTCTAATAGTTTACTGCGATTATATTTCAATATTCATTTCTAAGCAAACTTAATCATAAACCTTAGTATCATCAACTTAGTATCATCAACTTCCTAATTGTTCTCCTTGTCATTGTACTTATTGAAATGTACCTAAAATAGATTAAATATATTTTTACAGACCCTTACACTGCTGTTAGCATGGCAGATCTGGGATGCACTGACGCTGACTCTGGTATGTTTGGCACTGCTGGACTCGTATATACACTTGGTAGCCAAATACCATGCTGTGACTTTGATGTAGATTCAAGTGGAATCTTTTTACGGGGTAAGTGAGAATACACTGTGCTCCGTAATTGACTTTGCGCATAAAACTTCATTTTTATCATTACTAATACTATTTTGTATGTGTGTTGTGTTTCAGTTGACAATTTGGATTACGAGGGCAACAATATGCATTTCACCATTACTCTTAATGTGGCAGATGGAGGACTACCTCCAAGAACTATGGATGTTTTGATAAGTATTTCAGTAAACCCAGTTGACGATGGACCACCGGTGTGTGCAGGCCCGTACGTATCTTCAGTACCGGAAGACGCTTTAATTGGTACCACTATAGAAACATTTAGAGCTATAGACCCAGATTCAGATGAAACTTCAGATGGCCAAGTACGGTATACAATAACAGGGGGAAACAACGCTGGACATTTTGCGATTGACTCATCAATAGGTATTGTACAGACAATTGCGCTACTGGATGGGAAGAAAATACACATATATACTTTAGAAATTACTGCAACAGATGGCAATGGAGGCACATGTGTAGACACATTAGATATCACAGTAACCAGCGTAAATGGTGTAAAACCATCGTGCACCCAATACTCATATGGTCTAGATTTAGATGAAGACACACCAGTTGGTACATTATTCTCTTTAGTATGTACAGATGATGATCCAGTTGACTCTACTTTGACTTACACATTAACAAGTGGAGATGCATCGATGTTCGGTGTAAACACTAATGGCGAGGTGTTCTTGCAATCTAAATTGGATTACGATGTTGTTGGTGCAGTTCGACACTATGACATTGAAGTTACGGTTTCTGACGCTGCGGCGCACGAAGTTACTGTATCAGGCTCCATAAACGTACAACCAGTAAATGAAGGCTCTCCAACATTTACTACCCGTAAGAGAACCTTCCAAGTTTCTATAATACGAACTTATAAATACTTATTCTTTTATTATAACGAACTTTAAAGATAAAAGCCACAGTAAAGCACATCAAATTATTTGCATGACTTGAAGGTCCAGTCTGCATGATTACATTTTATACTATATGCTGTGTACTGTTATGTTTTTCAGGTTTTTATACTCTAGATGTTAACGAAGATATTGCAATTGGCACCACAATCATCACAGTGTCCGCCAAAGATACAGACTCGCCGGTCACTACTGATGGTACTTTAATATATACATTCAGTCCTGAGTGTAAATGCCCGGAATTTCAGATGAACAGATATACTGGCGAGATAACATTGCTGTTGCCTCTTGATTACGAGATTTCTACGTCATACCTATTACCAATAAAGGCATCCGATGGTGATAAAACAGATACGGCTAGTGTTGTTATCAATGTTGTTGACGTTAACGACAATTCACCAGTGTTTCTTCCAGTGTCGTATAGGTATTTATGTATATCCTACATACAACACATATGCGTAGATAATACATTATTATACTTCCACCATCTAAGATGATGATAATATCAGGGGGAATTTCTTCTTTCCGGGGTTCTCCACACTTGTCAGGGGGAATCTCGTCTCTCTATCGCGTCCCCTTGAGGTACGGGACCTGGAAGTCACTTATATCTTACAGTCAAATAAGACACACACAACGAAATACGATTCAACTCTCGTCTTAGTCAATCATTCGAGCACTCTATAAGACACAGCGCCTGGGTAAAAATCCCCAAGACTATTGCAAGGCTGACCCAAGACTAGCCCAAGACTCTCCAGGACTGGACTCTTAGACTGCGTCTGTCGTGCTGTACTCGCCAAGACCAACTCGAACTCTCTTTATTCATTTTCAAAACTCTAACCAATTACAATGCAGTAAAAAGACTCTAAGGCGTAACCTTCAATCATAAAGCCAATCACACTAAGTACTGAATACGTCATATCTTTTGATTAATCGTTCACTACATTAATAACTACTGATACTAACTGTCAGAAATAGTAGTCTGAATAGCGACGGTTATCTCGTAATTAGTTCCAAATCACTGAGTGGAGTTCCGTCCAGGACCTCGCCTGCCTGAACGATGACAGATATAACACAGCAATTCGCTCGTAATCAGCTAATTAAGTCGATCAACAGATACGCGAAAACAAATTCATGACACATCCCTTCACCCAAACTGAGATTATGCCTCCCGGCATTGCATGTTCAAAAATCAAAGATACCGTCCTCTACTCGTCGTCATAGGGTTCAATACAATACTAATAAAAGGTATAAATCAAAAGAAGTAAACACACTAATTAATAAACTGATTATAAGTCTAAATACAGTGGTTATAAAATCTCAAATATCAACCGTTATAAATCAAAAAACAAGGGAAAGGCTACCAATCGACTCACTTTTCTCAAACAGTTCGCTGAGGTAACCCTTCGCTGCACTGTCTCCGTTACTAAGGTTACAAACTCTATATCAAAAGGTCAAAAAACTAAGGCGTGGCGGTGTAACCAAGCGATCGGCCAATCGCGGCCGTCGACAGCACCATCACGTGATTACCAGGGATGCGTCTCTCGGTTAAAGCATTGCAAAGCGGTAACTAATAAACAATGAATAAAAAGCTATTAATCAAACTCCTGTCATATACGCTTATAAACTTCAACTGAACTCAAAAGTCGTTAATCTAAACACAAGTCATACGGCGTGGAACGGAATGCAAAGACAATGTCGCTTTCATAACACATTACTCCTCTGGCAAAAAGACGGGAAAGGCTAAAACGATAGACGCTCCTAAGTTACATATAATCCTGTCAATCATGAACAAAAGCTTGCGTTATCAAACAATACGTATATAAGCGCACCACATCTCATCCCAAAAAGCCATTAAAAACGTTACAAAGGTGCTCTCCACTCAAAAAGCGTCAGAAGTATTCCGGAAAACAACATGTAAACAAAAACAACTCTTAAAACGTCGATATCTCTGTACATCGACAAATCTCAAAACTCTGAAAAACAAGTGGGGGCATCATTCCTCCCATCAAAATCATGACAATAAGTTGTATCCATTACTTAGAATGTGGTTGGCTGTATTATAAATATAGCAGTAGGTTGTTAATGTTAACTTCCATATAATAAGTAGTATGAATATTTGCATGTGCACGAGCACATCAAATGTAACTCATCAGCATTAAACACACTTTTCATATTTATGAAATGGCATCACACACTTAGTGATTGCGTCATTACTTCCCCTTGTATCTCCTGACCCAGAATTACAAGAGAAGAAATGTCAACCACAGCTCGCAAACCAACCACAAAAGAGCGTCATTTTGGTATATATGTTCCGATTGAGAGTTTCAGTACTAATAGTACTAAAAGGCGTTCTCCCCAAGTCAAATGGTAAAAACATTCCGCCACCACTGTAATAGTGGAATATAGAGGACAATGGTTCCCTCTCATACGCCCGTATGATTCCTGTTATTTTGCTTCAGTCAGACGATGGTTTGTGATTCAGAAAATCCTTTTGCAGGGCTGAGTTGCTTGAGCACTTATATATATTCAACTTGTACACTCCTAGTTTGTGCCATAAATTCTATTATGTTTGATGTCCACTGGGAAGCTAAGCATGAGTGTTACAATGACAATGTGTGTCTACTGGAATTTCCGCGGTTCATGTTTCAGAATAAAAAATGATGGGAACGCATATGCATTCTTGTTTTTCTCACACCATTATATCCCGTGTATCTCTTAACACAAACACTGATTCGATCTAATTGCTTTTGACATAAGTTACACTTATGATTGTCAGTGACCGATTTATTTTGTGACTATATATCTTCGAATTGCCTCTGCCGATATAACTGCAGATAAACGTCACACATGCCGTCATCACTATAGTGATATGTCATGGCATAAATCCTAAAATTACCTTTTAGTTTACTTTGTATTGATTATATCAATGGTTCCTCAATTAAGTTGTCTATTCATCTTACTAGTGGTACTGTGCAGGAGGAATTGCCAGCAGGACAAGTGATAACAAAAATAACTGTGACAGATAATGATTCCGCAAAAAATGATAACAATGCGATTCTTCTCACAATCAAACGTGAGTAATTAATATTAAGTTATATCTAATTAACAGTAATATATTTTTTAACTTAAAAAGTATTTATTTTGAAATGCATGTAAAATATGAAATTATTTTCTCACTAGGTGGAAACATTGGGGCGTCTTTCTCTGTTGATTCTACAACTGGTGAACTCAAGACAACTGGTCCAATCGATTATGAAAGTAGTCAACTGTTTACATTGGAGGTTGTAGCAGCAGATCGGAATGGAGCACCTGGAGCAAACACTGCAACGACCCTGGTTATTGTACATATTGATCCAGTTAATGAATACTTCCCCGTATTTCAATCTATTTCATATAGTACTTCAACCAGTGAGTATACTGCAACAGGGGTAACACTACTCACCATATCAGCAACTGGTGAAGATTTAGCGTCCCATCCCCATGGTCAGGTGAAATACACTATCGCATCCGGAAACGATGATGATCATTTTTCGCTAGACGATTCAACTGGAGACCTTGTTGTCATCAAACGTTTTGACTTTGAGACAATATCTTCTCATACGCTTGTTGTAACCGCTACAGACAGTACAGCAGCTCTTGGGGACCAGTTGTCGACTGATGTGGATGTTGAAATCATAATTGAAGATGAGAACGACAACACTCCCACATGTGATTCACAGCCTTATGTCGTGAGCATATCGGAAAATGAAAGTATCGGACAAACAGTCATGTCTCTTGTTATACAAGACAGCGATAGTGGTACCAATGGTGAAGTAGATATAACTAAAACAAGTGGTGATGTAAATAATGATTTTGTACTTACTAATAAAGAACTAGTTCTGGATCAACTATTAGTTTATCACATTACACCAGTTTATAACATTGTATTTACTGTTACCGACCGTGGATCCCCGCCCTTATCGACGAACTGCGTTGTCACAGTGAATGTTTTACCGGAAAACAACTATGCCCCCGTGTTTAGTACCAATACTGAAAATATAAATATTTTAGAATCATTGGAGATTGGCAATATTGTGTACACTGCTTTTGCTTCTGATGATGATGGTATTGGCTCAGATGGAAACATAACATACAAAATAGTTGCCGGAAATGCTGATGGAAAATTTGCAGTTGATCGATATAGTGGAGATATATTGATACAGTCGCAGCTAGACCATGAAATTACTGATCAGTATATTCTGGAAATAACTGCAATAGATGGTGGGAGCACTAGCCTTACTGGAACAATGACCCTCACTGTTAAAATCGAAGATGTTAATGACAATACACCTATTTTCACACATGATATCTACACTACAACTATACTTGAACATATGGGTATTGGCACTAGTGTCCTCACTGTGAAAGCCACTGACATTGACAGTGGAGCCAATGCCATTATCGAATATAGTATCACAAAGGGTATGAGTCATGAGCATTTCAGTATTGATAGAGTAACGGGAGAAATTATGACTACTGCAGATTTAGACTTTGAAACAAGAAGCATTTACAGTTTCAAAGTCAAGGCGTCAGATGGAGGAATACCGATGCGGTCGTCAGATGCATTTGTTCGTATAATAATAGACGATGTCAATGACAACCATCCGGTAATTTTTCCACATTTTAAAACTGTTGCCATCTCTGAGCATTCTGCAAGTAACACATTAGTCATACCACAATGGACTTTGGATGACGATAGTGGCAAAAACGGAAATATAAGTTTCAGTTTAGTCAGTGGTGACCCGTTAGGACAGTTCTACATTGATACTTGGGGTGGTACAATTTTTACTTCAGGTGCGGGTCAGGTCTTGGACAGAGAAGTTCAAGATATGTGAGTATATTGTGAAATTTTGTAATAGTCCTTGAATAGTCATGTTCACCGCCATTGGTCGATTTCTGTTCATCTGTTTCCTATTATCTTATTAATTCTGATTGTTATTGTTATTGTTATTATTTTTATATTTACAATGTATGTAGTCAGGTTGGTACATATCGAAGTATTCCACTGTAAATAAATCACAATCAATATAGCGAAATTACAATTCCAAGAACATGATCCATTAGTCAAATGAACAAGGCTCGTATGTTGAACACAAATGTTGAGATGGAAATTACATTTCAAACTTTATTTGGATTTAATGGAAACCAATTCCTTCAATGCTCTAATTAGAAAATAAGTGTAGAAATTACCACGGGACAGAGGGTTGTTGTGAGGGCGTAGCCTGGAACAACTCCCCAATGACAGTTGTGTTAGCTGCTTGTACAATAGGTGCTTTATTTTAATGAGAAGTACTAGACTAGGTCAACAAATCTAATTTCCATTATCTGTTGACAATAACCACTCGGAGGCTTTGCCTGCCTTACGACTTCACTGCTTAAAATAAATTATAGGTAGCAACACCACGGTGTGTCTCATTAATGCATGAAGTTACAAGCTATAACACAGTCGCTGATTGGCTACTCAATTTAGCCAGTGTATGGTGTATTTAACGTGTCTGTAACTGCTGTCTCTAATTCCATATTTCTCATTTATGTTACTACCAGTAAATGTGCGCGAGCTATAATACTACCAACCTACTTACATATGTCATATTTACAGAATACAATTTATCTAATAATTCGTCATTTGCACGACTATTAGTTCTATCATTACATGTGTTTCATGGATTCTGAATTATCATAGATATCAACTTATGATAGAGGCTAGTGATACAGGAACACCGGCACATTCAACAACCAACATAATAACTGTAGTCATTGAAGACGAAAACGACAATCCGCCCGTTGTAAACCCAGCAACGTATGATATTACTGTATCAGAAGATGTAGCCGTCGGGTCGTCCATACTTACCATTCTAGCTACTGATGTAGATGCAAATGAAAATGGACGATTAACATATAAATTTACGTCCGGTAACAATGGCAAGTTTCGCATATTACTTTTCAATACACTTCCAATTGTGTATTCTATTGTCTGCCTTGACATAAGTAACTCTTCAATGTATGTTATATATTACCTTTTCAGGTACTTTTGCAATCGTACCTACGTCAGGAGTGTTGACTGTGGCCCTACCATTGGATAGAGAAACTACAGCGAGTCATAGTCTACACGTTACTGTGTCAGATAATGGAAATGTGCAGTTATTTGCCGAGGCGTCAGTTACGTTAACAATAAGTGATGCTAACGACAATGTACCACAATTTTCACAGAACATCTATACATTCTATGTGCTTGAAAACTCGCCCTTTCTATCATTAGTGGGCAATGTGTTAGCCACCGATAGAGACGTAGGTTCAAACAGTCGAATTAATTATACCATCGCCAGCGGGCCTCATGACCATTTCATACTTGATATTGTGACAGGATCGATTTCCACATCAGCTGATATTGATCGGGAGAATATTGAATCGTACAGCTATAATGTTAAGGCCACTGACAATGGAACTCCTTCACGATACAATTTCACTTCAGTTGTTATAGTTGTAGAAGATGAGAATGATAACTATCCTGTATTTAATGAAGATGAATACAGTGTCACCATTGCTGAAGATCATGATGTTAACGCATATGTATTGACTGTGGATGCCACTGACGCTGACAACGGTACCAATGCTGAGCTCACATACAGCTTTCATTCGAGTTTCCCTGTAGGAGATGAGTATTTCTCAATCGATGGTAGTACAGGAGAAATAACTTTAAAGCAAGCTGTAGATTATGAGGCAGTTCATACACTGGAGTTTGTTGTTATTTGTTCAGATAATGGTTCACCTGTGCTGACAACTACAACGACTGTTTATGTGAATTTAACTGATGTTAATGACAATGCTCCTGAATTTAATCCTGCGTTCTACAGTGCAGAAATAACAACTGAGTGTAATAACGGGGAACCCATTGTAACCGTTTCTGCTACTGATGCGGAAGATGGTGAAACGATGAAATATATCCTAACAGACGCATCAGAGAAATTTAAAATTGATATAAATACAGGTAGGGTAACATCGCAACCATCGAACCACTTTTTCGACTGTAAACGTGATTGCTTAATGCATGTTATGTGTCGTTATATTACAGGTGACATCACATTGATTGCAGACTATACGTACGCATTACAAACAGGACAGAAGTACGAATTGCGTGTCGAAGCCGAGGATTATGGTACACCGACATCATCAGACGAAGCGATTGTCAGAATAGATATATTTGATGCGTCCTTATATTTGGTGGAATTCTACATGACTTTGTCGAAGTCGTTGCTGGATTTCAAACTGACAAAATCTGATTTTCTGCAAGCAATTACAGACATTTTGCATGTTAATTTCCCAACTGGACGATGCGGAATTTCTCATATAACTATACAAGATGCACGTGATTCACAAAATACACGTAAACTACTTACAGACGGAAAGTGAGTGACAATTAAATGTGATTTACTTGATACGAGTGGTTAAATCGGTTCAACTAATTTGAACATAACCTATTTTAAAAGTATGTAAATTAGGAGTGTGTTTTTCTCATTGAGTATATTCTGGTTTCGGTTAAGCTATACAATGGCGCTAAAAACTTAAGGAACACCTGGCAAATAGTGTTGGAATAAATTAAACAAGTGTGGATTAAGGATAACATTGTAGTGAGGATGTCGTACATGTCTTGTGCCATTAGGTCATTTGTATTTCACGACAGGTCGTATCCGCCTATGTTTTGCGTGTAGTTACAATATATGTTGTATTTAATAATGTCATTTTAACTTGTTCTATGTAACACAATGACAATTCGTTTTGTTTCAGTGAAATAATAGTACACGTGTATGCAATTGCGGATGACACTACAGACGTTATAGAAGGACTGAATCTGACAAAAAAGTTTGTGCTGGCATCTCACCTGTTTGATACATTCACGGTAGATTCCACTGGAGCACCAACTGATGACCTTAAAGGTATACCATAAGTTAACCACTATAATATTTAATGTAATCAACAAGAATTTAAATATACACTTTATATATGTTTTTTAATTGTGGTTCAGCCCCCTCGAAAATGCCCCCCCCCCCATTCAAGCTGGAACTCTTTGTGTCAGCAAAATTTGTCCTTCAAAGTGCAAGAAAGGTCTAGTAGATTTCAAAAATGATCGAAGCGAGGACGGTGAGCACCCCCACCCCACATGCAAAATTTCGTACCGCCGCCTCTGCGTAGGACTAACAATAACGTCATCGTTGTGCGAGGGGGGGGGGTGTCTTACCTGGGAAACTAGTAAGCGCTTCGAGTGGACCTTGCCTAGTTTTCGGGAAACCATTCTCAAATCAACGTTCAATATTACAATTTAAACCCACTTTTAGACATCTGTGTGAGAAAATAAACACGTGTAGAAAAAATACTAAATATATAGTATGTAATTTGAATTGTGTAACGTTGTACACAATTTGTCGATAATAATGTTTTTCTATTAGTTTGATGTTTGTCATCATATATTGTTAATGTACCTGTCCTAAGCCCGGCTTGCTAACATTCACTGAGTTAATTAATTAGTTTTAAACGTATTTACTTATTGTTGTTGATGTTTCTGTTCTTTCCATGTGAATACCAATTCATTCCTTTCATGGACAACACTATTACGATGTTTACTCTCAATATAGGTGGTGTGTTTGAACAGTGGAATATCGAGAAAGTGATTTACGACAATAATGATCTATCCACTACAGATTGGTACCAGCTTTGGTGGGGTATCCTTGTAATAGGGTGTGCTTCTATTGTGTTTCTTTTGTTACTTGCTGCGTTTATCAGACGTATGTATCCGTTTTGTTGTTCAAAACAAAAAGAAAAAAAGTAAGTTATTAATTTATTGTTGCACGTTTACTTAATCACATTGGGAGAGCAGTTTTATACTTCTGTACACAGCTTTGTGGGTAAAATGTATTTTAGAGACGGGGACATTTTCGCGTTTTGGTGGGTATTTATATTTTTGTTCATGTAGCAGGTAGTTTACAATGAGTCACTAAACAACTAAACATGTATTTTTATTGTCAATGTTTACGTTCGGTATAATATCCTGCAGTGAGTAGGACATACTCGTTTCTTTTACCTAACGTAACGACCAATATTTTTAAATTTGCCACTTTCCGTCTGTGAGCAAAGAAGCTTTTCGACAAAACGTACGATAGTAGAAGGGGGATGCACGCACCACATGCAGTGTAGAAATGGGAAGATGAACAATAAAAAGGAGGGCAGATTTAATTCCATAATATTAATGAGAGAGAACTTATGAAGGGAGTAGAGGGAGGGCACAGCTAGCAAATATTCAAGTGACACGGACAGCCCATTTTTTCTCTTTACCATGAGACACGAAGCAAGTAATCTTCTTGTAAAATGACACAGTTCCAATGTTAAGTACTTCTTCGTTTGTATGTATGTGTCTTGTTCACATTATACATTTCATACTTACAGACTCGATGAGAAAGATAAAGCCAAGGCCAACATTGACGTTTCAAAGTCTAGAGGTGCATGGACTCCCGGCTCAGGTGAGGGTACCGATAAATTTGTTATACTTTAATATTTGAGATTACGTTCACGATCTCATTCTGAGATGTCTTGTAAATGTTTGTATTATTTCAGATAAAAGACGACCCATCGATCCTACTTTGAATGCAGTGGCATTAGGAAAGGTAAGGTTTCATTTTGAGATCATTCCATACTCTTGTCTTCTTATGAACGGTTGATGTTACAATCGGACGTACAGTCCGTTTCTGAATCACTGCACATATAAATACATTTCACTTCTATCCCATAGTCCAGTACAGCAACAGCAACTCTTACGAAGAATGACAATCTGTCAGTTTCCAGGATGTCACCAGGTACAACCTCTAACTTGTTCCACCGAATTATTACTGTTATTTTATTCTTTTAAACAATTTCATTGGGTTTTTTTGTTTGTTTTTAATTTGACGGCCGTGTCATGAATTTCCTCAATAAAACTGGATATTCTATATCAGTCTGTTTCGTCTATTTCAGTGAGTCAGCCAAGGGTCACACTGATTGAGACGGAAGATGAGATACGTGAATCTCTTAAAAGATATTGATAGCGTCCGATGAGTTTGCAGAGTTGTCGTTTTTGAACTTCCCACTTTCAACCTCGATGCTGAGACGTAGACAATGTGGCATATTCTGAATGAGCATAGTTATCAGTCAAATCGTTAAATTATTTTTATACCAGTAGTCTTATTTAGAATACCTATATTCTCTCACCGTGACCTATGACGTCAACCCGCAGCGGATTGCAATTACCCTCATACTTCGGTAATCTCACTCATATATACTTCATTTTGTATAAATTGTATAAAGACGAATTTTATTAATGTATTAGAAATTTATAAATATGAATAAGTAATTAATAAATGCGCCAACAATAGTAACTATTTAATCACTGTTTTGTCTATTATTAAATATGATCGATTTATTTCGGCAGTCGTCGCGCTGCGCAAGCGCGACATTTGTGTTGATAAACATTGATTTTCCCACAATCCAATGCGCTCTTCTAATGGAAATCATATATGTTTGAGGTTTGACCTGGGCGCGACTTGTTCTAATTTTCGCCGGTGACTCCTTCGATACCTTCTAATCACCTAAAAAATATCTAATTAAAGCTTGGTAACGTCTGAGTGTGTACTCGCTGATCTGCGCAACAGTTAAAGCAGTCAAAGTCGCCATCTTAATTTATATGAGACCCATATATCTCGCGCATGCGTCGCGCGACGACTACCGCCCTTTAATTGGTGACAGACTGACGAGTAATGTGCATCTCATAATTACGCGTGGTTATCTGGTAAACAGTCCGGCGAACCATTTATTTACCAGGACACACAAAAACCAGACAAAAATTACATGAAAAAGTGTACAATTTTACTGCTTAAAAGTAACTGAATGTGAAAACAGACTGAATTTGGATTCTACATCTTCAAAAGGCCGGTATGGCGCTTAGTCAATGTAAAGGAATGAAAATTCAAAATACACCTCTTACTCGCACAACGACCGCCCAGGAAAAAAACATAAAATAATTAAAAATAAATAAAAATATAATAATTACAAACGTTGTTGTTTCGACGTTTTTTTTTTCGAAATATTCCATGCAGATGGCATAGCGCCCTCTATTGCGTGGGTTGGAAAACAGTCAACGGATGTGGTTTCTTCAATGGACTTATCATATTCTTGGAGAGAACGGTGTGAGTATATTTGTTGCATTCACAGGTCATTGAGTATACTCGAGTAGTCACGTGATGATTTGCACATGATCACAACATAAAGCGCCCCCTATTCGCCCATGATATCCCAGGTAACCATCGAGCGACTGAAGAGCCCGATATGAAAATACTAGAAACGAACACACAGAAATGCAAAATTGAGGGATTTTCCAATCCAGTCGCTCAATGTGCATACAGTAAGTTTGGTCATTCAAGTTTGGCACAAATAAATACACTTGAAAGTTAGTGTATACTTCGATAATATGTATTTGTATTTACCATGAGGTAGACGTCACAGGTTGTAAATTTAAAATTCCGTCATGGAAGTTATGGATCGAACGCACCATATAATTAAATACAGAAGAACTATCTTTCCTCTTATATACATGGAATCTGTGGGTCACTGATTTGAATGTGAATTATAAACTGTGGGGTTTGACTGATATACATATAGACTGGACAAACACGGCTAAATGTGAATACCGAAATAAACCAATGTGTAAATCGCAATTAAAAGTATTATTAAATACTGACAAATATCTTATGGAATTATACTTATCAAGTGCAACGATATGAATATAATTAGGTTTTACATATCCATACTTGTTTTGACGGATTTGTGAAAACATCTTTTACTGTACATCACAGTATAATGTTCTAAGTGGTGAAAGATTACGCTCGTGACCATGTGCACGTGTAAAGTATTCAATTCAAACCAAGCTAACGGAACTGATTACCACTGCAGATTCATGGTGCCTAAAATGTAATTTCCGGGTATTATGAAATGTTACTCAAAGTGATGAATGTCACGTGACAACACCATGGATGTGACGTAAGAGAAATATTTGTTTCTTGTTAAGGTAGCGAGAAGGGAAATTTTCACTTTTTTCTTGATTTTTCAAAAATTGATAAAACGGTTAC